GTTCGTCAGCTATTCAAAAGACTGAAGAGGCACTGTACCCCTCCGAGCTACTGAACATATACCTTAAGTAGTTTGTTTAATTTTGCAATATTCTACTCTCGACTGGCGGACAGGCCACCGATCGAGTCACCGAGCCTGTAAAATTTTTCTAACTTGTTCTTTAAATCTATGGTTTTATATAAACCAAGAGAGGATAAAGGGGACAGAGAAGGCATCCCCCATATACACCTTATTCCATAGGTTATTCGTCTCGAGTTATTTTTAAAACCATAGATCCCAAGGTGAATTAGACAGCAGCCAATCACATAACGCGAATGTGTTCCGCGTGGATGACCCACGCTCAGAGCCACGCGTCCTTCACGAATTGACGCAGAAAAAACTGGCGGAAGACGCAGAGAGCAATATTGCTACTTGTTTTGTCAACGAAAACGACTAAAGAGAGATTTCTGCTAAACCTGTGTCGGCGAAACGGAAATTAAAAAAGATTCGCCCTTCCTCTCTTGTATAGAACTAACAGTACAGCAGGGAAATCCTTAACACATTGAATATTCTCTCAGGATCATTTATAATTTACAGTTTGAAGAGAGCAATTTCTGGTTTGAATATTTATTCTTTTATAATAGTCTTTTATTATTCAACTGAACGTAACACTTGGCGTCCTACTTGCTTTATTATACAAACGACCGGTTTCAATAGACCGGCGAAATTTCTCATTTTATGAAACACTGAGGCTACGACAACTTCGAGTTAAACTGATTTCGCGGGTTGTCAAAAAGTCCAGCGATTCCCTTTTCCCAGGTGAGCGCCGACTCATTTCGCTTCAATATTCAGAAATGCTCTCGATCTCTTTACGCTTTCATTGCCTTTCGCCCGACATGTTTTGCACGGCGTTTAGTCATGCGAAACCTCCACGAAACATTCACGCAGCGCGCGGGGTAACTTTATCCCGATTCTAAAAATAACTCGAGACGAATTACCTATAGAATAGGGTGTGCATGGGGGATGCCTTCTCTGTCCCCTTTATCCTCTCTTGATATAAACCTATACACCTTTTCAACACTTAAAAATAAACATATCATCGTTCTTGTTCTCTAAACACGACTGACTCATTATAATTCGCATTCAGTCATTAGACGTCAGTTGTAATTATTCATCTGTCAAATAGAAATATTATTATCCATCTCTGGCTTTTTCTACTTTCATTTGTAAAACGTGTTATGAAGTAGTTTTGTGGTTGTTTTTTTGACATCATTATCATAAGGATTCTTGATGACGTCAAGTTTGTTCGTTCCTGAGCGTTTGCTCGTGCTTAGGATCTCGTTTGATTTGGGTTTGAAGATCAACGTTAAGCGATATGTGTTAACAGGTTTTTGGGCGTTATTACCTTTTTAATGGGTTTTGTCGAAACAAGGGTCATTAAGCTAGCGGTTTAATTAAGTTTGATTGACAGTCTTTAAAGTGGGTGCGTTTTGGGACCATCGCTGACCTTGATTGTTACCTACATCAGAGTTCCTGTTTGGGTTTAAGGTAGAGCCTTGTGGATTTAGCTGCCAAGCTTTTATTGGTTTTCTTATAGGATTGTTTATTCACTTTGGTTAACTACAGGAAATTCGTTAGAGTCATTCGGGATAGCATTCTTAACTCTCATGGTCAGCAAGCCTGAACCTACCAACACGCTTACAGCGGCATTGAGGTCTCGCCTGCTTGGAGATTAGATCGACAAATGAGGAGGCCATTAATTCTACAAGAAACATGATTTACTCGCTAAAGGTTTTTTACTTCCTACTTTATCGACGTCGATACTTTTTATTTTATTTATTTCTGAATTGATTTAGTACGCGTGTTATCGACAACCAAAAATACCTCTGCGGTAGCAGCCTTATATACGCGTAAGTACACGAAAATTCAAGGGCCTCGATTCCAGAGAAATTACATCATTGCCAGATTACGAAAAAAGTTATTTACATGCACGTTATTTCAATCGCCGAAAATAAATTGCATGCTCATTACACGACTCATTTGCATACAGTGAAAGCAACACCCGACCATCGCAATTCTGCTAATTAAGATTCTTTTTTTTTTTCGACCACTCAGTAGTGTTCACTTGCTTCAAAGTAATCAACGTTTTCAAGCGATAGAATTCGTGGACCGACGCGTTTCGGAAAAGCTCTAAATTTAATCTTTCCTAAGCTTTCTTCGCAAAACATGCGTTGCTTCGATCACGAAAAGGTGGTTAGTCCCAGTTTCCATGGTCTCATGGTCTCATGTGCCAGGAACGCCTGGCACAATGACCTGCCTTTTGTGTCCCAAAAGTTCCGGGGGATACTTTCAGAAAAATTGGGATGGGGTGTGCGGCACGCTCTTTGAAATTCTTACTCTATTTCAGACCAAAATCTGTGATTTTCCCTTCCCTATTTCAGACCTGAAGCCCGCGAGCCCGGTGCGTGACCGGAGCGCGTGACAAGCTGTTACGGCAAGTACACGGTAGTTGGCGTAAACATTAAAAAGGAAATGCTCTTATTGCCAAATGATGAAGAAGTAGCTAATTCTTCTAAAAACCATACCCAATTCAAGACTAGAGTGCACAAACCATACCCTATTTCAGACCAAAATGGTCGAAATTGATACCCTATTTCAGACCAAAACAGTTAAAAAAAACATACCCTCTGGCGCAGCACATACCTATATAGCCTATATAAGGGACTACCCCTCCGGGGCGAAAAACGCGTTGCAGCTTACGCAAGCTAAGCTATAGTTGGATGGTTAGCAGTTAGTGATAACTTGTTGTAAGATGCTGAGCTGAAGACGTTTGTGTTGCTGTCAGTATAATTAAAAAGAATAAAAGTATCAAATCAAGTCCTCTCGCTAGAAGAACTGTCCCCGACAAAGAACCCCTTCAGCAAACGGAACAGCAAAATCTTGTTTAAGTGGTCAGATTTCTAGAATTGTTCTGAATCGGTGAAAATAGACAAAACTGAAGAAAGTAAGGTAAACATAGGGATTAAGTCAAACGGATTATTCGTCCAAATGTGAACCCTCCCTTTTCCACTTTATTACGAGTTGGCCTTATTGCATGGNGTTCACTTGCTTCAAAGTAATCAACGTTTTCAAGCGATAGAATTCGTGGACCGACGCGTTTCGGAAAAGCTCTAAATTTAATCTTTCCTAAGCTTTCTTCGCAAAACATGCGTTGCTTCGATCACGAAAAGGTGGTTAGTCCCAGTTTCCATGGTCTCATGGTCTCATGTGCCAGGAACGCCTGGCACAATGACCTGCCTTTTGTGTCCCAAAAGTTCCGGGGGATACTTTCAGAAAAATTGGGATGGGGTGTGCGGCACGCTCTTTGAAATTCTTACTCTATTTCAGACCAAAATCTGTGATTTTCCCTTCCCTATTTCAGACCTGAAGCCCGCGAGCCCGGTGCGTGACCGGAGCGCGTGACAAGCTGTTACGGCAAGTACACGGTAGTTGGCGTAAACATTAAAAAGGAAATGCTCTTATTGCCAAATGATGAAGAAGTAGCTAATTCTTCTAAAAACCATACCCAATTCAAGACTAGAGTGCACAAACCATACCCTATTTCAGACCAAAATGGTCGAAATTGATACCCTATTTCAGACCAAAACAGTTAAAAAAAACATACCCTCTGGCGCAGCACATACCTATATAGCCTATATAAGGGACTACCCCTCCGGGGCGAAAAACGCGTTGCAGCTTACGCAAGCTAAGCTATAGTTGGATGGTTAGCAGTTAGTGATAACTTGTTGTAAGATGCTGAGCTGAAGACGTTTGTGTTGCTGTCAGTATAATTAAAAAGAATAAAAGTATCAAATCAAGTCCTCTCGCTAGAAGAACTGTCCCCGACAAAGAACCCCTTCAGCAAACGGAACAGCAAAATCTTGTTTAAGTGGTCAGATTTCTAGAATTGTTCTGAATCGGTGAAAATAGACAAAACTGAAGAAAGTAAGGTAAACATAGGGATTAAGTCAAACGGATTATTCGTCCAAATGTGAACCCTCCCTTTTCCACTTTATTACGAGTTGGCCTTATTGCATGGACTTATTGGTTTTTAAGCAATACAGTATTTCGCAGGGGTTTTATTTCAGGGATTCCAACGACTTTTTCTGTAAAAGGAGCAAATATTGCCTAGAATTTTCTAAAGCTTGAGAAAAGCTACAAATTCCTGGATAATCGTTCCATTTGATTAACAACGATTTTGATAGGTTGTGTTATTCACATTTTAATACCAAGATTTTGCGATCATTGTTAAAAAAGATCTCCTAAAAATTTCGGGATAAAGGCAAATGTCCCCTGTTATTTGGTAATGAAAGCAAGGCTACTTCATGTCCTCAAACTTTCGACCGGACCCATAAGCCTAGCCAACACTTTCGGATGAGACGAAAAAGCCTTCTAAGAACTTACGTGACAAAGCTCCTTCCAAATTAGCCAAACGGGCTTCCAAAGCACAGAGAAAACCATTTGAGACACTTCTGGCGTATTTGGAAACATTCGGTTGTTGGTTGCCCATGTTAATTTTGCTATTTCAATAGACAAATTAAATTTCGTAATTCGAGCATTTTCGACTTCATTTACTTTTCGTTTCGGAAAGTCTTTCTGATGGAGTTATCTGGAACAAGCAAAACGATTCAGATGAAGATGAAAGCTAGATTCCCTACCCCATGGGTGAAGTCTCTCCAAATTAGTCATTATTTCCCAATAGACAGCACAAAATGAAAATAAGCAGAAAAAGTAAAACCAGTTAATAATTTGTGTATCGATACATATCCTGCTGATAAGCTGTTGCAATTGCTACATGTTCATCTTTTTTCCGTGAGGAATTTCATTCGTAAAACTTTCGTGTGGCCATATTGTGTATGTGACACACTTCTGCGCATGTGCGTCGTTTTGATTTCTAGTCAAAGTTGGCTTTCGGTAAGGAAATCCCCTTCCATCGACTCTGAGAGGCCGAAAAAAGCTATTACATCAATATTAAAGAGCTATTTGGAGGTTTTGAACCCCATATTTTGTATTTTCATGCAAGCATTGTCGAGAAATTCGAGGTGTTGAGGAGGAGTGGACGGGGGGGGGGTACTGCCATATATTGGCTAGCACTTTACTCTAGGATAGGGTATATAAATCAGAGTGTTTTGGTCTAGAATAGGGTATCATTTTTCAGGAAAATGATCAGTTGGTTGAAGATTTTATCTAGACTAGGCAAACAGCTACTCTAGGATAGGGGGGATTTGGGGAGTTTACTCTAGTATAGGGTAGCAAAATTCAGCTGAACTAGCCCTGGTATAGGTTAAGGGTTCTAGGGTCCCAGCGGCACATCCCCACCCAGAAATTCCCGAAGTACCCCCCCCCCCCCCCAAGTCCCCCCCCCCCCCCCCCGGGAAGTGTACGAAGCCATAATCCGTTGTTGTCAGTGTTCCTACAAACGGATCAAATGTGGCGTTTAAAATGGTCATCTGGCTTTCATTTCTGTATATTAAGTTTCTCCAGACAACGATCTACCTTTGCCGGATAGGTTTAAATGGTAAATGCATAAAGAAAGTTGAAAAGTAATTTAATTCCTATTAGTATCTACCAAGTGGTTACCATTATGTTTGTTAGATCATAACCAGGACGACCACCTTCTGTTCAGTTAACAGGTTAAAGAAAAAAATTGACAAACTAGGAACAATTAAGATAAATTAAAGTTTAGCTTCCGTCCCTACAGTTTCCTTCTCCATATTTTAGCAGTTTCACGACGTCTTCGCATTTAAATCTGCCATGCTCATCAGTTAACGTTCCATGAAGGAAAACCTCATCAACCTGAAGTAAAAATATCTGCTGATTAGAGGAGCATTGCTCATCTGAAAGCAACTGCTCTGATCAGGTGCAGTGTGTCCGAGTGTCTGAACAAAATCGAACTTTAATCTGAAGAGCATCTACACTCGGCAGTCCAACATCCAAGGCAATTCGAGGGTCGTCGTTGATTTACTGACATGCGCATTTTAGTAGTGTTTGTAAACTAGCTGAAAGCACTTTCGTTCAACTTTTACAGAAAGATTATCTTCTCTTCAATCTGTCAATGGTCGTACATTTCAGAGGGTAGTTAGTTCTAAAGCTACAATCTTGGACATGATTAGAAAACTGAATGGAGCCGCAGCAAACTTACAATCTTTGACAAAAACCTTGAAACACTTTGGAAAATTTCCCTCGCTCTTTCTTCTTTCCCCCCTCCCTTTTGCAATGTTGTTGTGGACACGTAACTTTGCAATCACATCAACATTGCTGAGGGAAAGGGAAGTGTATAGGGGTTTCAACGACTTTTGGCGAGGAGAGTAGGCTGGACTACCAATGAGCCTTAGGCACCGGTCATTATTTATCGCCTGGCAATGGGGGACGGGGGCGAGGATTTTGGGGGGATCACTTGATTTTTAGGAGAACAAAAGGGGGTTCAGTCGTAACCGAGAACCCAAAAGGGGGGATCACTGAAAACTTTAGAAGGATTCAGAGGGGGGACCAATCAAATTTGCCTACATGGAAAATGAAGACGTGGGAGGGATCGCGAAAGTCATCTTATGTTATTAGGGGGGACCACTTCAGTTAAGTAACATTCAAAGGGGGGATCGGCTAAATTTCACCTTGTTTAGCCCCAAACCCCCCCCGGCGATAAATAATGACCGGTCCCTTAGCTCTTATCCCAGGGAGGACCGAGAAAGCGGCGGAAATCTACTGCTTGGAGCAAACCCTCATCACCCCGAAATAATCAAGGATGAAGCCTCGCGAAAACCAAAACGCTTTATTTTGCCAACTTTGATTTGGGAGGAGTGGGGTCTAAATGTTCCATCTATTTTGTCCAAGATATTGTAGGTTCATAAAAATCACACCAATTTTATACAAGCGACACCGCATACTTTACCTGTTGCTCTGTCAGCCTTAGACCCGTGGTCATTAATGACTCTTTGAACTCATCCAGATCTATAACTCCATCGCAGTCCTCGTCAAAACACCTGAAAGCATTTAGTATCAAATCTTCAGGATCTGCGGTGCCCATTCTGGAGGCAAACATGGACGAAAATCGAGCAAAATCCACACTTCCGGGCACCTCATTCAGCATTTCTCTAACTTCCTTGTCAGTGGGTTTTTGACCGAGCGAAATTAGAATTGTCTGGAGGTCGTCCTTGCTTATAACGCCATCGCGGTCTTGGTCGATGAGATTAAATGCTTCTTGTAGTTGTTTGAGTTGCTCTTTATTTATATGACTTGTAGTATTAAGCCTGGGGCCAGTAGTTCGTCGTGATCTAGTTCGCCTTGGGTAAATTTTGCTGCCGTCTGCGTGATACATCATAGCGTGAATCAAGTGTTTTTCTAGAATCCTGGCTTACAAATCACGTGAAATAAAATATTTAACACAATGCAAAGTCAAATGGATCCATCAAAGATGTATAATTAATGCAACATCTGATTAGTTTATTTTTCGGCACATCTGCGTTACTAAGTGCTACTCACGCACTGGATAGTTTTTCGAATTCCGATAAAAGAAAGAAAGAAAGAAGACTTTTTAATTAACGCGCGTGAACTGAAAGAAGTAGCACTGAGCATTCGATCTCTGTTTCAAAATTCCTTTGATTGAAGTGGTAGTCAGTAGTCACGGTCAAACTTTCATTAATTTGCTTTACTGGTAGGTAAATCCATCAGGGTAAAAATACAAAAACATTTCATAAGACGATACTTGAAATTAAAAGTGGTTGCATCAAACATCTGGCACACTTAGTGTGAGGCCCTGTCCACACGTATCCGGATATTTTTGAAAAACGGTGATTTTTTTCTCCCTTTTCAAATAAACTACGCGTCCACACGTAGCGTATTTCAAAACGATGCATGCACGTAATGCTAGTAAGTACATGATGTATCATCAGTTATCGTATCCGTAAACCTCTAGCGTGCGTAGCAAGCGTTTCCGCGCGAGTTCTTCGAGGAAATTGGGACGACGGAGTTTTCGTCTTCCCCCCTCCCCCCCGCCCCCACTTTTTTCCTTTGTTTGTTCGTTTGCTTTTATTTTACTTTATTTTATTTTAGTTTTGAGACGACTGAGTCCTGGATCCGGGACATTGGGCAGTTGGTATGGGAAGGGGATAGTGGTATTCCAATATACCTGTCAATCCCAAATGTAACAAAATTCTCTTGGGCTGGAAGAAGCGTGGCGTGGGTTCCCGGATGATGGAATTGGAAAAGGTGTAACGGAAATTTGGAGTTCATGAAATAATGTCCTTTTTGGTGGAATAATCATATGGAATAACGAATTTTTTTGAGAATTAGAATGAACACTTCATTATTTCTCCAGTGCTTCATATTCCTTGATCTGGTCGGATGGTCACGTGAGAAGTGCCTAAAAAAACCCTGGGCACGAGACAGACGAGGGAGTCTGGATGAAAGAAGCACGCCTGGCAGATTTCGCATTTCGCCTTCTCGTCCGTGGATGGTTATGGCAGACGGATGTGATGTAGAGGTGATTGTGAAACTTGGTGGCTGTGCGGTTACACAGAAGAATACATTTGAAACTGTTAAACATGATGCGATTCTAGCAGCGGCCAAGCTGGTGAAACAGATAAATGGGAAGTGCATTGTCATACATGGAGCCGGGTAAGGTTCTTTTAAATTCTTCGATCGCGATATATATGCACCAAAAACGTAGGATTTTATGGTTTTGATACAATTTTATGTGAAAAATGTGAATTTTGTAGCCTGTTGAAACAAATCATTGTATACTTCCTGTTACTCGTCGTTAAAAAATAGTAAATATTCCAGGACAATCCACTTCAGGCCCCTTTCTTTCTCTGTGAAGCAGCCTCGGCGTTGCGTGACTGCCTTGACAGAGAGATATTTATTTCTTTTAGTTGTTGATTACGTTGTTTAGTTCAGTTCCCATTGGGACCATTAGATCCTTTATAAACCACTCCTCGTGAATTTCACACCACTTGAAGCTGACCAGTTTACTCGTGGCTGCCTTTTTCGCTTTCTTATGTATGAGGTTTCTATAGGTTTACCTAAGTTTAGTTTGTACTTGTATGTTCGCATCGCTTTTTTAAAATGATCTGACTCTGTTTAGTTTTTTAATTTTTTGCTCAGCATAACTTTTCAGCATGCATTTTTAATCTAGCTTTTCTTAGTGCTCTGTTTCCGTATTTTTTGCATATATTCCTTGTTTTTGCTGTAACTTTCACTGGTATTATAAACTCGATTGCTTGCGGCTCCCTCCACTTATCATTGTGTTGTTTTGTCTCTTCACACTTATAACAGAAATATTTTCTATTTGGCTGAGCATAGTGATAGAGAATAGAAAGGGATTTTTGAGGGCATGCAGATTCATATCTCCCCATCACTATAAATCCCTCTTATAAATCCTGATTACCACCGTAGAAGTGTATCTGAGGTGAAAGGGTAGTCCCAGGGCACCCAGAGACCCCCTTTCAGGGAGTTTCCCAGTCACCCTTATCATTAGAAATACTGTAAACCATATTTTAAGTGGAAATTGCACTCTGTTTGCGTTAGTATGTTCCCTTATATAATCAACCTCATTTCCAGGGCATTTCATTGCCCCACCCATCCTGGTCATTTTGGTAATTTTTGCTTTTTTTTATCCTTTTGGTTGTTTTGGTCACTTTGGTCATATTTGTCCAACCTTGTTCTCAGCAGATTCTTTCATCTGAGAAAATCCGGGAAAGAGGTTGATATTTTGTATTTGCTTCTGCTCCATGTTTTAGTTCATTTGGGCACTTCCAGGCTCATGAATATGGGACAGCTAATGGATTCACTGCAGATGATCCTGCAAAAGCCCGGATTGGATTTGCAAAGACCAGACTTTCAGTTCACAAGGTATAAAATAATCATTAAAAAACTCTTAACATTCACAGTTTCACAGTCAAAATACTGATGAGGTTCTACCTACAATTAAAAGTATTGTCCTGACTGCAATAGTCTTGTTCTATCCTTGTTGACTTTTTTTTGACATTAGCAATATTATTGTTGACAAATCAGAAGATGGTAGCTTTACAAATCTGATCCATTTTTGTTTGCTCAACTGGAATTCACCATTTAACACACTTTAATGGTATAAAGAAGGTCTTAATTATAAGACTAAGAAGAATAATTTCTTAAAATGTAAGTGTGCTTGTTTTCAAAACCTCTTTCCGATATACCAGCTACTGATATACCCTATGATTGGTCAATTTGTGACAGTTTGATATTTCAACACGTACATCAATCATTTGGCTTTGCGTGTCCAGAGTCTAACAAACGTGTGGATCATGTGAAACCCTCTTACACTGCACCTTTTGACGTTTTGACATTTGACATTTTGACATGAGAAATGGCTTTGCAGGAAGTGGGCGGGGCAGTCACCTTGAATGAGGTATTTGAAAAGATGTTTACAGGCTCTCCCCTTCTCTCTTCCTGCTTTTTTTTGCCTCATTCACTATTTCACCGCCAGCTCACATTTTTTGTTCGTCTGCACTGACCGAGAGCCTGATAAGAGGCTACACCCATCCCTGGCCCTTCCAAGATAGATCACAAGCCCACTCTATACCTCCTCAAATGGTAAGACATAATAGTTTTGTGTAACAGTTCATATTTGATTCCTGTTTCATCTTATTTTTTATGCAGTTACATCACATGATCATTGAAGTCTTTATAGCTAACAACATTCCAGCTTTGGGAATTTCAGTAGGTATTAATCCTGCTAAATATTTTCTGCTGTAGATAACAGATGCTTTGGTTCAATTTTGTGCCTGGTTCAACTTTTATTTATTAATATATTTGTTTAGCAATGTATGATAATCAGTTTGAAATAAAGAGAATTTAAACCAAGAAAAAAACTGAATTTAACTACCACAGAGACCCTGCATGTCCTGCATAAATGCAAGGTAAGAATCCAGGTGAATTTCATTAAGTATCAAAAATTAATGTCATCATCATCATCATTGTCATTATCTGTTTGTATTAGCAAGGAAAATTTTGGCAGGCCACATATTATTTGCACTATGCTTTATTTTTGTTGTAGCCCTGTGGATCCTGGCTGACAAGGGGAGGTATTGTAACAAGGCCAGCAGTCGCACCAGTAGTGGAACTGTTGAGAAGTGGGTTTGTACCAATACTTCATGGTGACTGTGTTTTAGATGATGTACAAGGATGTGCTATTCTTAGCGGAGACAAAATTATTGAGGTAAATGACAGTTTTATCAATCAGTCAATTTCAAGCATGCATTCCCCAAGGCATTTGTCTGGCAGTTTTATTTTTTCTTCAGTCAAGTGCAAATTGCATCGTAACGTGGGCTCCCAAAATAGTGTGCAAAACCCCACCAAACAATAGTATTTTTTATAACAATGTTAAAAGTCATAGTGACCAGCAAAGAAATAAAAATTTGAGATGGTATCAATCAACATTACCACCTCTAAAAACAAAAAAAATTAGCAAAGTTTAACATTAAATTTCTTGACTTGTAACAGAGTGACAAGAATACTATCTGCTAGGTTATGTTCTTTCCAAAAGAGGCACTTAATAACACAAAATTTCAAACTGCAGTCTTGAAAATTTACCTCTAAATAAAATTGCAAATCGTTCTGCTGCACACCTATTCAGATAGTTCAGTTTTGGTTGCTTTGTGAAGACAATCCTATTTACGTGCTTATCTAGTCCTTTTCTTCTGAAATGAATGTATTGTGCCTTGGATGTGCAGAGGCTGGTGTTCACCGCACTAATAAACTCAAATCACTTTTCAAGGACGAATATCTTTAGTCTCTAATTTATGTGAAATTCTGTTCTGTTGGAAGAACTGACAATTCCCAATGCCACCCCCCCCCCCAAACCCCCCCACGCAAACCTTATGGGCCCCCCCTTTTGGAAAACCCCCCGGAAAATTTAAAAATTTCCCCCCGGGGGGAATCAAGAGGGGGACATACTTGGAATTTTCTACAAAGACTTTAACTATACAAGGGGGGGGCCTTTCATAGGGTCATTACAATAATAAACTACAATCACTTTTTAAGGGAGAATATTTTTTGTTTTTAATTTTTGTGAAATTTTGTTCTGGTGGAAGAACTGAAAATTCCCAATTCCCCCCCCCCCCCCCCAACCCCTCCAGGCAGACCTTGATGGTCACCCATTATGGAAACACCCAGCGTAACTTGACAAATTTCCTACCAGGAGGAATCAGAGAGTGGACATGCTTGGAATTTACTACTAAGACTTTAACTATACTAGGTGGGGTACTTTCATAGGGTCATTTGTCTGAATACCAAGCTGCAATTGTGCATTATAGAGCATGTATGCACTGTGGTTATGCATGAAAATATTAACACACTTTTATCGTATTCTGTAGAGTTTGGTAGAACATTTGCGTCCAAAAAGGGTAGTATTTCTGACTGATGTTGATGGAATTTACGACAAACCTCCTGAAAAGGAAGGTGAGTGATGCAGTTTTTCCACTTGTTGATAATATTATTTCTTAATTTTAGACTTTCAACTGTACCAACAAATCAACTCCTTTTGCCACCAGTAAACGTGAACGACAGATTCACGAAAGGAGCCGATTAGTCGCGCGTTTCCGCACTGAACAAATGACCACCCCGCAAAGGCGATCTGTTCGTAATTTAATCGAAAGTCATCATTCATATTTTCTTAATGTTTTGCTTGCCAAGGTTCTCGCAATGGTACTCTGTTAAACTGAGTACCTTATTCAATCACAAATCAGCATAATCCTCTACCATGTTTACTAGCCCACCTCCTCTTTTATAACTTTCTAACTGGCCCCACTCATCATCCCCTACCCCACTTTTAATTTGTCTCTGTTATTAATTTTGTAGATGCTAATTTGGTACGGAAAGTTTTCGTGAAGCCTGACGGGAAGTTATCGGTTGCCATAGCAACGTCGATTCTGAAACACGACGTCACCGGTGGTGTCCTCGAGAAACTGCAAACGGCGACGAATATAATTCATATTTCCGAGGGAAACACTCGCGTTTTTGTCGCAAACATTACATCAGAGGTTGCGGCATATTCTGCGTGTGTTCTGGGTATTCTGGAGGGAAGTGGAACCGAGATTACAGAGGAAAGGGCTTAAGACGTCACGAAAGATGAACATCTACGCCCTGTTAGCAAGACAAAAAAGTAACGCTTGGTGAATGTACCTGCTTTGTTTATAGTAGAAGTACACTAACAGCATCACTATTGGCTATAGTCACCGTTAAATGACGTGACTTTGAAGATGCTGAATAGCCTAAAGGCATCTCTTACGTGCGATACGTCTACCAAGGAAAGAGCTTTCAGTTAAGAAAAAGAAACACAGAAAAAGAGTGCGCCCGGACTTCACTCAGAATAGAAAGCGTCATCAGGTGACTGCTTGTTTGTAAAATATGTAAGCTCGGTCGGTGACATGCCTACTATATACCGGATAGCTTTTCGTGTCGACGTGAAAAGCTATCTATTACCAGCCTCCTCCTCAGGCGCTTCGTATTCCGCAAGGTAGAGGCGAGCGACTGGTGATGAGCCGCAAGGGACCATGGAAAGGGTACAGATGGCAGACGCCCGCTGTCTCCTTCCCGCCTTCCTTTGCGCGCGAGAGAGAGACGTCTGGGTACGAGGCAGATCCATTACAGTATGAACGACAACAGAACAGAATCGTACAAGTCGTTCCCACACATCAAACATCGTGCCTCACTTCTGAATATTTACTTCCGTCTCAGTGGGTTCCAGTCCGCTCTCTTACTCATTTGCTTCCGTTACGGTCTGATTAGCTGTTCACTCTGCGACGAAGAGCGGCAGAAAACTATCCGATACGTAAAGATCCACTTTCAAGATCAGCGCGGCGCAGCTTCGCGTCGAAATGCGCGTTCTTGTGTGTGAACAGAAGCCCTATCCCAGCCTCCTCCTCAGGCGCTTCGTTTTTCGCATGGCAGAGGCGAGCGCGAAACGACCGCAAGGACCATGGGAAGGGTACAGACGACAGTCTCGCCCGTTGTCTCCTTCCCGCCTTCCTTTGCGCTCACATTTTCATCAAAAGAGAGACGTCTGGGTACGAGGCAGAGCCCTATCCGATATGGTTTTGTATCGCACAAGCGTCAACATAGCCTTAGACTATTTCAAAAGACTTGGGGCGTACTTTTAGAATATGTTAAGCAAATACACAGCTCATGATCTTTCCCCCTTTTTATTTTAATCATAAAATAAAGTCCGCAGTCTTACAACAAACCACTTTTTTTACTTTGAGAATTGCTGCTAGGTGTCGTCTATACCACTTTAATCGCTTTCCATTGATGATTCCCGATGATTCCCAAAACCAGCATGATATGACTTCATGAGTTGATATCAGTATCTTGTGCACTCCCATCATCTGGCTCATCAACTGCAAAGAAGGAATTGTTTCCTTTTTTCCTTTTATAATTTTTAACAATACAGCCTCTAGCTTGCGTGCGGGCGACTTCAGGCGCAGTTCAAAACATAGAACATGTCTTTCTTTGGGCAGAATTGTTCAGTTAGAAATGGGGCGCAAAGGAAGCATCTTATATGCAAAGGTCTATTCCTGTAATTTGCATTGTAAAAGCAAAGTAGATCACAGGTCAGCAAAAACTCCAAACGTCATCAAAGGATGGTGAGCGCAAGTGACAGAACTGCACGTTCATAACATACAATAGATATCCTTGGGTATAGCATAGTATTTCTTCACTCAGTTTTCAGTGTGAATGCTTGTACCATGTAATTAATTGTTGATGCCTGTTTCTCGCCGGTTTACACGTCACGCCAAGATGCTTGCAGTTACGCATGTCTCCACTTTAGAAACGAGAAGTGGACTGGAGCAGAAATGTGTCCCGCAAATTGTTTCTTGGATCGTTACTGGGGACGCGCCGTTCAGCTATTGGCTAAATTTTTTCCCGCCCTAGAAACAGTCCCAGATGTCGTTGCGAAAGCTTACTCGGCCCAGTCTCCTTCGTTTCTAAAGCGGCGAATCTTGTACGCAATGAAAAAACTTCCAACCTTCCGGAATACCGTAAAAATTCTGCTCAGTGACTGCGGGCTCACGCTATGACGCCACACTTGGTACTTACCGATACCGTAAACAGCAGCGGTCAGGTGTCTGCCAGTGCAGTAACTGTCCTCCAGTCTACATTGCCCATAACACTGATTGTCACAACACTGATCATTGTTACAGTCAGTTGCCGCACCCTGAGCAAAGAAGGTGTCCTGTGCATTTGGGCCACTCCAACATTCCCCTGTGGAATAGAGTGGTCGCGGTTGGTGAGATATTTTTAAATGTAAGGTTTTTTAAAAAGCGTGAGAGAGTATCTCTTTCTGAGTAAAAAGTTACTAGATACAGCCCATCCACCGAGTTTTTTTAATTGTTGTCCTCTATACTTAAATCCTTACTTACCGTACAGCAATCTTGCGGGCGTTTTGCATGGGGAGGCTCCGTCGTAAGGTCCAACACCTTACCCTTTTATAAACCATTTTTGAATAGGTGCCCCTTTTGTATACTTCTCACTAAAAAAATGGTACCTCTCACACCTACCTACTTACAGGATTTTTCTTTTAGCGTTTAATAAATAAAATGCCGTAGCCATGAAGTGCGCTTTCATACACCTGGGGTCAAATTTCATAAAACTTTTACAAGTGTAATTTACAAGTGAAGTTATTGTTTAGGGTCCGAAAGCAATAGCTACACTTCAGAAGCTGCACTTGTAAATTGCACTTGTAAAAGTTTTATGAAATTGACCCCCTGAATCCTGTAAAAGGTACCCCTTTCGGGAGGAATAACCCTCTGGTTCCAGAAACGTTAAATCTGGTTGTGATTCAATGAAAAATTGATTTAAAATTAATTTGTTCCCTGATTAAATTTGTTTGATGTCTTCTTCAAAGCTCTATAGGAGCATTTTGTGCACGAGTAAATTAAAAAGCATTAAACTAAATCCCCGTACAAACGGGCGCAACATTGTTGGCCAACAACTCCCAACATTGATGGATGTTACATGTTGCGTCCGGTTGCACACCCTGTTGCATGTTGTTGCGTGTTGTTGGGCAAAGTTTGAAACCGGTCAAACTTTTCAGTCAACAACTCCCGACATTTCTTTTGTTCCGTGATCGCCGAAGCGTAGCGCAACAATGTTGGATTCGTTTGCACAGGTCTTCCAACATTGTTGGGGCCACGCACGCTCATTACGCATGGTTTACAAAGACTTATGGGTTGTATCCTTCCCACGATGCACTGCAGGTCCCAAAATTGTTGGGAGTTGTTGCATCCGTTTGTACACCACAGCCAAAACGCACGCAGCAACTCCCAATATTGTTGGCGCAACAATGTTGGGAGTTGTTGCGTCCGTTTGCACGCAGCCTAAAATAATGACTTTACCCCTGCACAGAATTGATCTCAAACCGTAATATCCTCGTGGGATAGCTATGCATAGCCCCTTTAAAGACCATTAAACAGTATAATATCAAATTACGAACCCCAAAATTTCATTCCAAACATTTTCTATCCTCTCTGTTTAGTTTTTTCTGCGCATCGGCAGAGGAAATCGGGTAGATATTCGTACCAGTTCTGCCAGTCGATGTATTTTCCGCTCCAGGATGGTGACGTAGGATCGCGGTCATTTAGAATGTAATTTGGCAAACTTTTCTCGCCTGTGGTGTCATCGTTGTAGCAGCAAAGCTTCTTGAAAGTGACACTACAGTGGTCTTGGATGTAGGACAAAGAGGCGTTCGTCAGGGGGATATTTGTAAAAGGAAATGAAATATTAGTTTTAATGACAGGTTATGGAACATTTGCACGAATAGAAAATTCATCAATCTATATTTAGTACTTGTAAAACGAAATAAAATATTAGTCTTAATGACAGGTTATGGAAAAGTTACACGAATAGAAAATTTATCAGTCTCTAATTAGTCTACATTTATTTGAGGCCTAGGCCAAACGTCGAACTTTCATGAGACGAGCCACACCCAAAATTTGGGTCGAACTAAATTACAGTGTAAGTTAAGATCCTCTGTTGGGTCAGACGTCGAACTTAGGACTCGTCAAACCAATCAGACCAAACAGCAATTTTTTGAAAAAAATATACATTATCATACAAATCTTTAATTTATTAGTTTAGTTCGCTGCATGGGAAGATCAACGTTTGTCGCGGACATGATCTTCAGACGTTTTATCCGTCTGAAGCAGACCAATAGAACGTGTTGGACGATCCAAACTCATTCAGATGGACTTAACTGGGCCAGATGTCGAACTTTTCATGAACTTAACTTGCTATGATTGGTTTGTCTCATGAAAAGTTCGACGTTGTTTGGCCTACGTCTTTATTAGACTTCTAAAGTGTAATTTCAAATTCTTAATGTCAAGTAGTTTTTAAGACGCAGGGCCCTTATGGAGACCAGCCCCCGAGCTGAATGGGCCACCCTGTTAAAATAAAGTTTTTACTTTACTTCACTTCACTTCACTTCACTTCACTTCACTTCACTTCACTTCACTTCACTTCACTTCACTTCTCTTCCCTTCACTTCACTTCACTTCACTTCACTTCACTTCTCTTCCCTTCCCTTCCCTTTCCTTCACTTCACTTTACTTTACTTAACTGCTCTATTTAATCAATCGATATACCTTAATCGACAGTGTAATTTAAATGATAATTCACGCAGATTCCAATGGTGCGAAGTGCGTGGTGCGGTGTTTCTTGTCCCAGGCGCATGCTCTTATTGCCTGCCGGGATGGCAGCTCCCCCAATATAGGAAATTAATGGTCTAGGGTTTTGGTTTTTGTTGTTGTTATTCTTCCTTTCTTTACTATTATTCTTTAAGTACGTTGCCGGTAAGTCGAAAAATTAAATTGATTGCTAATTCTACTAGCCTCTCACGCAGACGCTCTTTGGGCTTCGTCACGCGTCCCTGCCGATTGCGTGACGAGCCAAAAGAACGTCTGCGTGGGAGGCTATAATTCTATAAGACTGGCCCACAAACAAGAAACGTTGAAGGAATTCGAAGAGGTATTAGCGTTTGTACTTGCCGATGATTCTGTAGGTCATTATTGCCTGATCGTCTCCACTGCAATACCTTTCGTCATTTTTGCAATTTTGAGAG